TGCATAAAATCTGTACTATTGATTTTTACTATAATACCTCGCATATGTTTGATTAATTAGTATATGAAATACCCCAGTGTTTTATGTAGATATAAACGTGTTTTATGTAAATTTAGGATATGAATACCAAAAAAATTTTTGATGTATTGTCTACTAAATAACGATAAGTCTTTAATAATTATTAGATATATGAGCTCTGATTTCTAAACGACACTTTTCTTCTTTACTTTTATAAAACAAGAAGATGGGTTTTACGAATATTACGGGGCCAAGAAATAATGAAGATATGGTACAAATTTAATGATCAAAGAAAAATTTTTAAAGGACCACTCTTTCTACTAAACCTTTGAAGTTTTGGAACTTGGCTGAGTTACTTTTATTGAGAGTAAATTGGGTCACTTATATACTTGTTATTTTACATATAAAATAAAAATTAAAAATTTATGATTTCTTCGCTTTATTAAACTTCTTGTGCTGCATCGATTGCATTGCTGAGTAGGGGTAAATTTGACGTTTACATAACGTCAGTATGTATTTAAAAAAAACAAACCAAATCAATGTAATAGCTTTGTGTACATACTTACCTATATTGACAGAATCGCTCCTAATAAAAGTTGGTGGACTGCCGGATTCCACTGGATCCAAAACGTTAATATGAAAAAAATATACGAACTTACAAAATTTTAGATAACTAATTAAGCAAAAATTTTTTTGCCCAATTTCAATTTCAAGTTAAAAATTCTATTATAAACAATATAAAAAATTCGTGTAACAGTGTTTTTCATTAGAAATTAAACGATCATAAACGTGCTTTTTTTAGAGCGTTAAAAAAAAATTTGAAAACATAATAGCTTCAAACACTTATAACTTTAAGTTTTAAAAAATTTTAACCGATAATTCGGATAGAACAAATGAAAAACAATAGTTTTTATCGGTTATATTTTTAAAAATATTTAAAACTTAAGATTTTATAGATTTCTTAAAAAATACATGATTTTTGATGAGAAGTGACTTGGAGCACCATACAAAAAAACCAAGAAAACTCTATTATAATTACTGTGGCCTAATTAAAAATGTTCCTCGTGATGTTTTCCTAGTATGCGTTATACTGTTCTAATCCTAACCCTAACTGTAACACGGTTGTCTTGGTTTTCATTTTGCACGTAACTTTTTTTACTTAGCTGTTAGAAAACAAAACATGTTTGACATCTGATCTTAAATTTTGATTGGCCAAAATTACCGGGGATGAATAATTTTATTCAATGAATATTCGAATATACCATTCATCGATGTACTATGAACATTGTATATACACCAAACTTTATTTAAATTAAAACAGTTTCAGATAAAATTTTAGAATACGTACTGTATTAGTATTATACTATACAATATACGTCATATTAAATATAAATTAATACAGTATACACTTTTTTTTATTCTAATGGTTGAGTTTTACAAGTTCTTTATCATAATATTTAATTATAAAGTCCATTTTTTATGAATAAATTATTTTTACAAAAACTAAGGTTATATAAAATTAATTTCTTGGTTTTCATGTCCCAACCTCATTGATTTTTTTTTTAAACCAGGTAGATATTTTAAGAAACATTGTACAAAACAATTGTGCTGATAAAGTCTTTTCTCTTTTTATAATTTTACATTATTGCAAATATCTTTTAAAGATTCAGTTGCAAAATTTAACACATACACCTTTGATATTTATGGAACACTCCACCATTGTAACTCTTTACCGATCGAAATCCAAATACCTTCACCTTTATTGTAGTATTCTGTACTATCTCCATCCTGAATAAATTCATAATTTTGTTGCTCATCACGTTCACAAAATCGAATTGTTGCTATTGTATCCTCAAATGGACCAATTGGCATGCGTATAACGTCTCCAGTATGGATAGAAAAAAATCGTACAAAATTATCCTGACCAGCTATTATTAATTCAGTTTACAAAGATAAGTAAATGGTAACTTTGAATAAAGATTCAGATACAAATAAATTACTAACCAATAGCAACAATTGAGTTATATGAATTTACAGCAAATCCGGTCCTGCGATTTGTACTATTAACATGTCCAAAATATTTTAATACAGGAGAGGTAGATTCCCCTGTGTTTTGACTTCTTCGCTGATTCCGAATGTCCCATAAAGAAAGCTAAATCAAATCTTTAAGAGTTAGAAATGCATCAACCCTCAAATTATAACTATCAATTTTTTTTTATACATACCGAGCCATCCATTCCATCACTTAGAACATACCAACCACTCACTTGTTTTAGATTACATATTGGAGATGACTGTTTTATCATTGGACCATCACCATTCGGTGAAGATTTTTTGGGATTACTACGGACATCAAAAAGAAGTAGCCGACCATCTCGACATCCTGCAAAAATAGCTGAAGGCTATATGATAAACTAATTAAATTATGAAAAATTATTTATTTAAAATTACATTATAATTAATTAATACCTGGTACCGATCGTTATCCAAAGCAAAAACATCACTATTGGTTTTAATATTTGTGAATCGAGCTCCAGGAACGGAATAATTCGATAAAACTGAAATGTATTTTGTTGCACCTATATCATGATACAATAAACCAGAAATTTCATTACCAAAAGTATATTCAAATGAAGCATATATATATACAATAAAAATACCTAGCGCTATCCATTCATCAACTTGTGAAGAAGTTGACGTCCACACAGTTGATCTAGTTTGATAGTTATATGCGCTTGCTTCTATATATCAATAATATCAATAAAGGATTTTTAGTTCTAATTAGCATTAAGAGTAACTTCAAGCAACTTAACTAGCATTGCTAAATCTTACCGTGAGCCATATCAAAATCGGTTACTTCTGGTAAATGTTCAATGTGCAGTATGCCAGAACAAAGATGATTACCAAGTGAAGTATAACTAAATTATAAAAGCATACAATAAATTTTAAGAAAAATTCTAAACATTAATTGATTACAAAGTTTTAAATTTACAGTTTACATGATTAAACTTTCATCAACTATTATTGATGTTATCTATGAATTAAATACGAATTCACCATTAGTCTTTTAAGAATATAGGTAAAAAAAAAAAAAATTGCTAACGAACCTCCGAGTTACAATAATCAAATGGCTTGCTAAAAATTTCAGAACAAGTCTTTGATGAAGCCTGGAACTTTAACAAGCTAAGAATATATTAGCCAATGGGTATATTTTTCAAAGATATTAATTTCACAATTATTTTTACTTTGCTTACCCGACCATCCCATCAGTATTGCCATAATATAATTCATTGCTTGTTGGGTGTATCTAGATAAAAATGGATATTTGAATGCTATAAGACCTTAGAATGCAGCGCGATTTAATGTAAAAGAAGTCAAACCTGAAAATCAGTAATACGATGCGATAAAGAAAAAGGAATTGTTTGCTGAATTGTACCGACATGTTGTAAAGATTTTATAAAAATTTCTTTCCATTCTCTAGTGGAAAATAAAGTTTAGTTATTATCCATAATAAAGAATTATATAACTATATCTTATACCTACCTTTGAAGCCGATGAATTGTTTTATATGGATTAAGCTCGCGATCATTGAGAAGCGAATTACATGTAGAAATCCTTGGTTTAGTCAACTGGTTTACATTCCCTTCGGTTTTTTTCTTAGTCTCTATGCCACGTGTATGCCCAAAAGTGTGCCCTGGCATTATTTTAAAATATCTGCCGCGCTCACGATCATAGTAAAATCCTGGTATCTCCATCGGTTCTTCTGTTGATTCATGCAATGATTTTTTAAATTTTGTTCGTCGGAGTGACCTTTTTTGTATTTTGTATGAAGGTTTGTGGTTTCGTTGGGGCATTCTAAGGATCAACTATCCAGAGAATGGTGTTTTAGGATATAAAAAGGTATACGATTAAAACGAGGGTGTTGCGTGTATTTAAGAATTTTCTTCTTTTTTTAAGAAGGCCAGAATCGAGAGTGGTTATTATTGTGTATTAATCATTACGACACGGATCATTGATTATCTATTGAATTCCTATTTCGTGTTACATATTACATCAATACAACATGACGATAATATCTTGATCGCGTCATGACATTTACAACTACGTATGCGCTGTTTTCTTATAATGATTCATTTAGGAAAATCGGGTAATTAAAGTTTTAAAAATGTATAAATATGATTTATTTTTCATCAAGTTTCAGAAATTCACCGCCGAGAATTTACGCATTTACATCTTTAATAATACAGGATGGTAAAGAATCAAACCACTGTTAACATTATTAAAAAAAATAAAAGATTAGTATTTAACTTTACGAACTTTAGGATGATGATATGTTTTGGGTAATGCTATCAGACTACCCAGACAGTAAAGATGATATCGTCGAACCACCTGGTCAAATCAATAAATTCTCAGAAACCGAATTCTACCGAGAACGTGCGAGAAGGACCGAGCAACTTCACCGGGATCAACGAGAAAAACTTTTGAATAGCTTTGCAGAAGAACGACGATCACATCGATTAGAGTTCTTTCGGATGATTGATCATGATTATTTAGCGGATGTAAGAGAGGGAATTAATCCACTTCGTACGATGGATTTATGCCCATCAGTATCAATGATTCTTTATGGTAGCAATAAATCAGATAATGGATCGATGGAAAACGTTCAAGAAGTTGAAGACGGATTGAATAATGCAATCGCAAGATTATTGATATCTGGTGAAGATCGAGCACGCTTAACTATTCAAGATATATTGGTATGTTTAAAATAAATTAAGTAAATTGAATTTATATAATCAATGTAAATTTTTTTTTTTTTTTTTAATTCATGTTTAAAAGGTTCAATACAGGGCAGAACAGGAATTCATCAGAGAGCGGCAACTCGCCAAACTAAAAGATTTAAGAAAATATCAAAATCAAGTCATGAATAATTTGCGTAGTCATATTAAAGATGATGTTACAACTCCCAAAAAGGCACAGCATTCAACACCTATTAGTGTCTCAGCAGATAATACACAAAATATGCAATCAGCGCCAACACCTAGTGTCAATACAACAACTCCCAGTACATCTAATCCACCTGTTGCATGTCCAATGAATCATCCACCTCCTGATATTGCTGAATTTTGGAATGCGTTTGTGAGTCATCTTCAACCTGGTACCAGCCAACAACAGGCCGCTGCTTTATTAAGCATAATTGCAACTATGGCGAATAATCAACAAGGTTCCAATAACTAGATTGTCCAGATACGTAGGGCAATTACATAAATGCAATTCTGCAGCTAGTGCAAATAACAATATCGGAATATATATACGTAAAACCAATGCACATATGTACATAAATGTTCTGATCTAAATTTGATATGTAATAATTAATTCCGATGTGGCGTAGTAATTTTTTTGCCAACTATTATTACCTGTCGCCATTTGTTTTTAGCTGCAATTGTTTTATCTATTAGTATTTAAAGAATTTTTTGGTAGTTTTGTTTAACGATGTGAAGAACGAACATTACTGCACTTGAACGTGTAAATTCCAATAATTACAAAAATGATTTAATGATAAAATGTATTGCAAACACGTTAATCATAATCGATAATCACCCTATTAATAATTCAAAACTCTACCTAATACAGTAATAATACGAATTCTTCGACAAAGCAAGGTATTATCATTAGTTAAAGTATTTGTCGAAGCTGATATTCCATTAGAAAAAATAAAAAAAATTGCCCATTTTTTAAAAATAATTTATCGAAGGTAAATAGGTTAATTTTAAAAATAAATTTAAGATTATTTTAATTAAATAAATCAATATATATTTTAAATTAATAGGCGGAGGAATCGTTGGTGCAAATCAATTACGTGAACGTTATTTACTACAGATTTTTCAAAATGAAATCTACGAAACGTGCCTACCACGAATATTCTTCTTCAAGATAGACAACATTTGCCGGTCCTCTTAGTGTAAACCGTACCGTCTAAAGAAAAATTTTGAAGATCAATATATATTTCAATTATAGTTGATGAAACCACAGATACTTGTGAACGTAGCGTCGTTAATATTTTGTTTAGTTATCAAAACCAAACAAAATTGGTAAAAACTGATTATTTACTAACTTCACTAGAATTGAATAACAGTAATCTCGATTTTGATGGCTAAAAGCTATCATGAGTGCCCTTCACGTGAATACGAAGTTGGCTTGAATACTGTTAATCATTCTACAATTTCACAATTAATTCTATCTATAATAAGTTTTTATCAAAATATACTTTTTTTTATTAGCGACAATGCCGCTTATATGAAAAAAGCATACACTGATACTTTAGTTTGTATAATTCCCCATCTTAAACATAATTGTTGTTTTGCTCATATTTTAAGTTTAGTCGGGGATTGTTAGATTTACTTTGAAGATTTAAAACTTTCAGCACAAGTAGCATCATATATTAAAGATGCATTTTTACATTCTTATATTCGTAAAAGAAGATGGTTACAATTTCTTAAACTTAGAATCTAATTTTTTTTATTTGCCAAAACACGGTGGAATAGTTGGTTTAAATGTATTTTTTGGTTGAAACCTGTATTTTGTTATTTTGTTCAATTTTTCAATAAGGAAATTGTAAAAGAAGATTTTTACAAATCATGAAAATATTTTATTAATTGAAATTACGATAGTTTTAAATGCCCGATGGTAAGATAATTTATTAATTTAATATCAATATTTTTATAATTATATACCATATAAACAAAAATCGCGAAAAAATTTGAACTATACATATTTTAAATCGATTTTTTCCCAAGCATTTCAATTATCATTTGAATCATTTTGACAATTGAACTATTTTTTTGTTTTTAAAGAATTTGAGGCCGCCAATAATGATTTATTAAATAAATGGAGTATTTATTGCGGGTTAGAAAAAGAGTTGGATGATAATTTAGATTTTAAAAATTGCTTTGTCATATATATGGTTGCCTATTTTTGGTGATTAATAATTACAAAATATTTTAAGTGACAGACGGCATAGTCTTTCTGAAAAATTCTTAATCGATGTTGAATTTATTATATTTTAATAAATCGAACG